TAATTTATTTATCATTTTATGATCAAATCGATTCACTTATTTATAAAATCACGTATAAATTCACATGCACCGTTTTACGGATAAACAAGCATTATTTATGTCCTCGGTGATTTTTCATACTTTAAAAAATTATCAATAATAGCATCATTACTTACAATTTTAAATATCTTATGTTTATATAGCAAGCTAAACAATATTAAAAAATTCTTCATCCATCTTATTACGTGGATCTTTTATGTCCTTCTACTTCCATGTAGATATGTGATTTGTATTATTAGTTTTTGGTTATAGCGAGAGTTTAAGGTTAATTTATTATACTTTTCTTGTACTTTATTTCTTTGTCTTTGACAAAGTGTAAACTTTTTTGAGAGATTAACCTTTCAATTTTGAAGTTTTATTTTTTAACAACACTTACAACCTACTATTATCCGTGATAATCTTTAAGAGAAAAAAATGGGATCACAATATCACATTTCATGAAATATTTTAGCAAAAATTTTCTTTTTAAAGAATAACTTAAGGTTGGGTAACCAAGAAAGAAAATGAAACAATACAAGAATAGAAGCATTTTTAATTAAAGCGTCTAATGGAACATGCAAGGACCGAACCCCTGACATTGGGGGCAAGTGCACTCATTGACCGATAAGCCAAAGTTCACACATTGCTTATTTAAAAACGAAATCTAAAAACTACTAGTTCTTTACATAGTCTACGGAAGGGAGCATGAGTTCACGTGAATCCACCCTTTCCTATATAGATCCACCCCTAGTTTTGTCTATGAATATTTTTCCAAACATGCAAAAAAAAAAAAAAAAAATTTTCTTCCTTTTTTAAGTCTTAAAAAAAACTATGCAATCTAAAGATGTTTTTTTTTTAAAAGTGTTGGTTGGAGGTGTTTTTAAAATGAATTTTCAGAAAAAAATCACTCTTCCACTCATAATGATATTTAAAAAAAAAAAAATACAACTTTGAAATAGTCTGCCCTTTTTTTCAAATTTTATCGAGTTGAAATACTATTTTTTTTAATATTATTGTCAATTTTGAATAACTTGGCAATAATTCTATGTTTTAGATTATTTTCACGCGATTAAATTGTAGAAGAATAAGCAAGTGATTTCACTAAGGAGAGGAGAAAGGGGAGGGGCCATTTTTTTTTTCTCATCCGGTGTTCGGTACCCATATTGGGACCCCACTAAATCCGAATTCGCCCCGGAAAGTCCCGCATTGGGGGTAAAATGCTCCCTAACAAAGGCGACTCCATACCCAGAGATTCAAATCCGAAATCTCTGGTGGTTAAGGATGAAAGAGTACTTGACACCCCACCACAACCATTATTGATGGGAGGGCGATTTACCTGCTGGCCATCGGCTCAATGGGGCATTGATGGTGGGTGAGTTATAGCATGTTTGGTCAAGCTTCTCAAGAGACCAAAAGTATTTTTTTTTTCTTTTTCAAAATCACTTTTTTCCTAACTTGAGGTGTTTGGCCAAGCTTTTTTTGTGGGGGGAGTACTTTTGGGAAGAAGTAGAAGTAGTTTCTGAGAAGCATAAGCAGTTTCTGAGAAGCAGAAAAAAGTAGTTTATTCCCAAAAGTAGAAGCAGAAGCAGAAGCAGTTTTAATTTTTTTTCTTACCAAAAATACCCTTAACAAAATATAGTATATACCAAAATAACCGTTAAACCTAATACTTAGGATATTAATGTATAAATATTTCTTATTATTTTTAGGATAATTTTCTAATATATAGTGACTTTAGGGATGAATGCTTTTATATTTATTGAATGATTTTTAATATATTTAACTTATATTAAAAGAATTAATACTTTTAAATTTTATTTTCATATATTTGCTTAAATAAAATGAAAAGATTTAATTATTGCATATAATAATAATTTTTTAAGATTATTTATTTACTTATAATATTAACTATTAAGTAAATCTATTCATGTCCTTATTCGTAATTTGATACTTAAAAGTACTTTCTGAAAAGCATGGCCAAACACAAATTATTGCTCAAAAGTGCTTTTTAAAGTGATTAGCCAAACACAAACTGTTTCTCTCCAAAAGTACTTTTTCCAAAAGCACATTTGAAAAAAATACTTTTCAAAATACCCTGATTTCTCCAGCCTGGCCAAACAGGCTATTAGCCGTTAAGGGGAAAGAAGACGTTAGAGAGACGTTAAGGATGAAAGGGTACTTGACACCCTACCAAAACCCTTATCGATGGGAGGACGATTTACCTGCTAGCCATTAGCTCAATGGGGCATTAACGGTGGGTGAGTTATAGCCTATTTGACCAAACTTTTCAAGAGGCTTTTTTTTTTTCCTTAAAATAACTTTTTTTTTCCTAACTTGAGGTGTTTGGCCATTTTTTTTTTTTTTTTTTTTTTTTT